AAAGAGGAGGGGGGATGGGGGGTAGAAAGAAAGAAAGAAAGAGGGAGAGAGAGAGGAGGTGAGGCGTTTGTTAATATAATAAGAATTGTCATCTCTCTCGCCCTCTCCCTGTCATCTCTCTCTCGCTCTCTCTCTGTCATTTCTCTCCCTCTCTCTCTCACACAAGTCCCACACACTCTCTCTCTCTGTTTCTCTCTCTCTCCCTCTCTCTCTCACACTAGTCCCACACACTCTCTCTCTTTCTCTTTCTTTCTCTCTCTGTCATCTCTCTCTCTCGCTCTCAACCTGTCATCTCTCTCGCTTTCTCTGTGTCATCTCTCTCTCTCTCTCCCTCTCTCACACACAAGTCCCACACACTCTCTCTCTCGATCTCTCCCTGTCATCTCTCTCTCGCTCTGTCTGTTTCATTTCTCTCTCTCTAAGATTAGTCACACACACTTTCTCTCTTTCTCTGTCCACACACACACACACACACACATTCATTTTCTCTCTGTATCTGTCTTTTTTCATTCAGAAACACACTCTCCCTCTCTCTAGCTCTCTCTCTCTGTCATATCTAACTGTCATCTCTCCCGCTCTCTCCTGTCATCTTTCTCTCGCTCTCCCTGTGTCATTTCTCTCTCTCTCTCTCTCATCTCTCTCGATCTCTCCCTGTCATCTCTCTCTCGCTCTCTCTATGTCATTTCTCTCTCACACTCATACAGGCACACACACATTCTTTTCCTCTCTGTATCCATCTTTTTTCATTCAGAAACACACACTCTCTCTCCCTCCCTCCCCCCTCTCTCTCTCTCTCTCTCTCTCACTAGTCACACACACTCTCTCTCTTTCTTTCTCCATCTCTCTCTCTCTGTGTTTGAGCGTTCATGCGCTGTCAAACACACACACACACATTCTTTTCCTCTCTGTATCTGTCTTTTTTTCATTCGGAAACACACTCTCCCTCCCTCCCCCCCTCTCTCTCTCTGTCATCTCTCTCGCTCTCCCTGTCATCACTCTCTCGCTCTCTCTGTCATTTCTCTCTCTCTCTCTCTCTCTCTCACTAGTCACACACACTCTCTTTCTCTCTCCATCTCTCTCTCTCTCTCTCTCTGTGTGTGTGTGTGTGTGTGTGTGTGTGTGTGTGTGTGTGTGTGTTTGTGCGCTCGCGCGCTCTGTCAAACACACCCACACACACACTGTTTTCCTCTCTGTATCTGTCTTTTTTCATTCAGAAATACACTCTCTCTCCCTCCCTCCCGACAAACAGAGATCTAGAAAATTTAGAATAGATCTAGATCAAGTCACAAGTTTACGAGTCTCAATCCCAATCCACCTTTGCTCGACCAAGCACGCTGGTGAAATGAATGGGAAACGAACCGCCGAACGCCTTGACTTTTGGGAACACCGAACGGCCTTGACTTTGAAAATACGTGTCCCTAACAATGATTGTGTTACAATCCAGTGTTATGCGGGCGTACGCGTGCCTAACAACTTCCAAATGAAAATACAAGAGCAAAATCCCAATTAAATTATATCAGAGAAATTATTTTATACACACTTCTCTAGGCTTTTAAGTTAATCTCATATTTTACACCAGTGACATGACATTTTAAGTTTTCAGTTAGAATGAAAGTTGTAAGTCAATTTCTACTATAATATTAAGGAAGTATATATATCTAGATCTATATATCTATCTAGATCTATACTCTATATCTAGAATGACTCCCAAACCTACAAAAAGATAACAAAAACTCACTTGTGTTATATTAAGGATACAGAATGCTAAAAAGTAATAGCGGTATTTATTATTTCTTAATAATCTTAATAATCAAAAACTATTAAAGCTAGAGAATGCCTCAGGAAAACATTATCTAGACGGGATAAAGTGAGAAAAAATAAAAGAGAACAAGTTGGGACAACACCATGTTATGAAATACAATTGAAGAACAACGCATTTAAATGGCTCACTGGGCCAAAAAGCCCCAGCTTATTTGCCCATGTGGGCCAATAAGAGCAGCCAAACTAGAATCTAGATCTAGATCTAGATATCTAGATCTAGAATCTGGAAATCTAGTCTTAGTTTGTCAGGTTGAGGGCTATTTTATCAGATCTACTGCTTTTTTTTCCATACAACGATCAACGCATATTTCCTTCCGTGTCCTCCACGCTACAGATACTGCATACTGCATACAACAACAGTGTAGTAACAGCTTGTTGACCTGTGAACCAAAGCAGCGAAACTTCCATACAAATATAATGACAGTCACAGTAGACCTAGAAAATCTAGATCTAGATCTAGACTAGGGTAAAACAAGCTAAAAACACACTATCATCCACAAAAATACGAATGTTAGTAATCTAGATCTAGCTTCTTCTAGATCTAGATCTAGTCTATATATCTAAGATCTATATCTAGATTAGATCTAGATCTAGATCTAGATCTAGATCTAGATATCTAGAAGTTAAAAATCTAAAACGAATGCAGCGAAAACTTACCAGTTTACACTGTTCAGTAAAAGCCAGGAAGTGAGTGGACGCGAACTGTTTCTTTCTACTAAATTATTCTACCAGTAACGTTGGCCTTCCGACGTGGAGGACTGGCCTAGCTCGTGATGTTGCGCTCGTGTTGACAAACTCAGCAGAGGACTGCTACGGTTCGCCTTCTCTTCTTGCCTGCCGCCCGCAACACCTCGCTCGCCCTGCGTACGCAAGGCACACACAGCGCTGTTCGTGGAGGCCGGAGGGTGGAAGGAAATCCGAGTTTTTTAGAATCCGGTTATCCGGTGAAGTTATTGTCGAATCTTTTTCTTGTCACTTGCCTAGTGTCAGTGGTTTTGGTGGTGGTGGTGGTGATGCTGATGGTGATAGTGATAGTGATAGTGCTGGTGGTGATTGGTGATTGGTGATTGTTGTGGTGTTGGTTCTTTTTCTACTTTCTTAATTTCGCTTAATTTATCAAAATTCATGACT